TATACATTTTTTACCAATGTTTTCATGCCTGATTATGGAAAAATAAATGCATTATGGCAACTTAACTTAAATAAAATCACTAGAGGTCCATAAAACCATTTATCAGCACTTTTGAATGCATGCAGTACATTAATCCAAGTAAAGTGCATTTTCTTTTTCTCTGAGGAAACTACAACAAATGCATCAGAACAAAAGCCAGGTGGCTTTAAACTGGCATAAAATCTAGGCCAGTAGGCCTACACAAAATATGTAAATAAGACTCGTAGACACCGAGGCTTTCACCCAACAAGCAAGTGCACCCCGCCTAAGTGTCATTGCATACTACAATGTCGCGGATAAATCGCCACACTGCATGTAACGCTATTACCAATGAAATTACAATTGAGAATTTCAATGAATCTGTAAATAAGGTCTGTCTGTCCTCATAAGGGGCAAAGTAGAAACATGTATAAAGGATACACCAAAAGTGAAAACTGGATACAAAATCACAATCACTTACAAATTGAAATACAATTTCAAGAATCTGCAATAAGGGTTGTCTGTCCTCATGAGCAATGTAACCACATTGTATCCTTCGTACCGAAAAGTATCAATACTATGAGCCTGTGCTGCTGTCCATTTCCCCCTAATGATAACCTGAGATGGGTGAATTATAACTCACAATGGAAATGTTCGAAAGTGGATAGAGTAGACTGTAGAACTAGATACACTTATGAAAGGGCCAGCTTGTCTACTTATAAGAAAAGTGGGAGGTTCTTTTTAATTGAACAGTTAGCTTTCTGCTTATCAGCCATAAGTCTGTTCCTCTTCTCTCAGCACATGAGAGGCAGTGCTGAATCAGTCTCTCGCTGTCAGTGCTTGTGATTTGATCTTACTCCGCATATTGTCCGGTGTTTTGATTTCAAGTGGTGGAGTAATCCGAAGGGTGAAAGTCTTTGCAGTTACACCCCCTCGAGAAATGTCAGCTGAACACGTTTTACAAATCGCAATCCGCGCCTCTTTCTCTGATATTTTTAAATATCTCCAAGCGGCAGACATGTTGGTTGTGAGCCAGCCGCGAGCATGGTCGCGCGCCGTGCTTGTCGCCGCGTTTTGATTACGTCATCACAACAACACGTTGGCTTAACAACGTAACCCTGTTCTCTGACATTCGGTGATATTTTTTCGGTGCTAGAACCCTTTCGGCCGAAAGCCGAAAGGGCCTTTTTAACCATTTTCGGCCGATAATTTTCGGCGGCCGAATATTCGGTGCATCCCTACTGGTTTTAGTGCCATGTGTCTCCTTGCAGTTAAAACCTTGCCCATCTCCATTATTGACCATACATTCATGGAGTCTGGACACAGCAAGATGGAATGTGACAGTGTTCATGCAGCCATTGAGACCGACAGAAAAAAAGGGCCTTTGTACAGTTCGGAGGGGTACTACTGTACACTCTTGTGAGGATGGCAAGGAGGAACAGGCCATAGAAGGTGATTGAGCTTGGGTACAGTGACTTTCTGGATTTCAAGTCCTTCTCACAACACACTAGGGCTGCTCAATTATGGCAAAAATCATAATCACGATTATTTTGGTCAATATTGATATCACGATTATTAAATACGATTATTCATTGACTTTGAAAACATCCATTTATTGAACTTAAAAAAATAATAATAATTTGAACAGTATCTTTTTAACAGTTGATTACCCTGAACTTTAAGTATAACTCAACTGCAAAGTATTCAGCTAAAGCCACATCTTTTTTAACTTCCCCACGACATTTGTCATATAGGGCAGGCAGTGCAGATCTGGTGAAATGATACCGAGATGGCATCGCGTAACGCTTGTCCATAGTGTTAGCCAGTTGCTTAAACCCCTGGTTGCTAACCGTGCTAACCGGGCACATGTCTTTAGCTATGTAGAATGTGATGGCATGTGTTATATCTTTGTGTCCTTGCGAGCTGCTTGAGTAGGCCGTTGCACTGTAAAGTGCATCCTTAATTGATGACTGTGATGTGGTGGATGAAGTCGAGGGGGCACGCTCGTGAACTGTCAACAGGGGGGGGGGGGCCTCGCTGCGGGGAAACTGTGGACCTCGTTGCAAGCCAAAATCGTAATCGAAATTAAAATACGATTAATTGCACAGCCCTACAACACAGAAACAGAACCAAAGACACAGAGGGACAAACAGTTTGTTGGCAGAAAATGAAATGGCTGTGCTACAAAAAAGAGGATCCGAAAAGGATTCAGTTCAAATATGAGCTGTCCGAGCAAACTGCAAGTTGGAGACCAGAGGTCCTCATGCAATTGAACCAAAGAAGATGCACACAGGTCCACCTGGGATCACTGCTGTGAAAAAGAAAGACGTACTCACACAAATGGGAGTATCCCTCACTCCTATGTGGACTTCTACCAGTCTTTGCAAGTCATTCAGGCAGAGTAGGCTAGTATGTCTGAAACGTACATGATCTGCATGAAATATGCTGTTGTCGTATATAATTATATTGCTATATTTGACATTCCCAATGTTCTAAAGTCTTTTTTGATTTGCCAAACAGTTATTAGGCCAGGTTTAATGTAATTTATTGTTATTCAGTGAACTAATGTGATAAAAAATAGAAGAATATTTTTTTCAATGAAAGTCAAAATATTGCTCATTAAGTATATTGTCATCCACATGTTTATGAAGTTTTCATATTAAATATTGAATTTAATAAAGAAAGTAAGGACAAAGTATGGTCATTTTTTGTTTTGGCTCTCCTGTAAAGTTGGTCAAATGTCCCTCTGGTTCTCACCCCTCGAAATGTTTTTTAGCCATACATACCCAAAATGTTTCCTAAATAATTTTCATGAAATGAAACAATGTGTTCAGACATACCCATAGTTGCTGCTGGAGCTCTGGACTCAGCCCTGCTCTCTCTGAGGGCCTGCAGCAGCTCGTCCCTGCTCATACACACTCCAAGACCAGGGAGGGAGTGAGCTCTGGCGGCCCGCAACAGTTCACAAGCATCCACCAGCCGGTCTGTTTCATTGCAGAACCCGAATGTGGTCTTGGATTGATCTATCAAGGAAGACAGACACAGAAATAAATGTAAGATTATAGGATAGCTAGGGTTTTAGGCAACACCCCTCATGCAATTCATCATTTGAGAAATTATACAGTAGGATGTATAACCTGGAAACCCAAAACTTAAGTTAAATCAGTAGTAAATCATTTATCAACCACTATTAGTGATTTCATTTGTTACAACTTTCAAAACCTGTATACATGATGCCTTATGAGATATTGGCCTCCATAATGATTCTCTACAAGCCTAATATGAAGAAGTGTATTTGTTTACCCTTTGCTCTGTGTTGTGGCTCCCACTGCTGGTCACTGCCGTCATTACAGGAGCTAAATGTTGACAGGACCTCCTGAGGTGGCACGGCCGTGAATCGGTTCCACGCGTCCTGAGTGTAAAACTCCACAGTGTGAGCATTAGCGATGTTCAGAGTTATAGATAGAAACTGCTTAACTTCATCTATACGACGTTGTATTTCCGTAATGCAGTATGAGGAGGATGACATATTAAAAAGCTCTCTAAAGATAGCCCGAGTGAAGCATGAAGTGTTCCTGGCTGCATGTACCTCACAGGCAAAAGTAGTAGAAAATACTCTTCGATGGTTTTATAATAAAATGTGAACAAGAACCCTTTTTAACATATGACGAGCAAACATAAAAGGGAATACATTTAACGTTTGCACAATATGTTGCAATTTTAGTCAAGCCAAGCGGCACGTTATAAAAATTAAAATAACGAATAGCCTCATTTGGCATGTTATTAACACAATGATATTGATTTAACTTTAAAACTAATTATATTCAAGCATGTCAGCCCATTCGGTTAAAACATGTTGCTGAGTACATTTTTGCACCATGTAACAAATATAGAAATATCCTAATATTAAATGAATCACCTCAAGAATCAAGATATTTTGGATCGAAATCGAATTCTCCGCGATTGACTGTTCATGACTGGCACGTGTACGTCATCACATCGCGTCTTTAACACAAATCGCATGCAGGCTAAGCTTAACCCGCATGAGTTTTGTAAACATTTCACTTTTCCTGGCAAATTCTAACTGAAATGGCACCAACAGATAACAAAAAAAAGGATCATAAGTTTGTGGCAAAAGCTGGTAACTGGAAGAAACCACAAAATACCCTACATGGTGTCAAGAAGAGGAAATGGGTCCCCGACAACAAAGTATTTGAAGGCAGTGTTAAAGAAGGTACGCTTTTAGCTAGTACACTTACAGGTAGAAAGAAACAGTAAGGAGATCATCATTGAGGGTTTAGTTAATTCACCCACATGCAAACACTTCACATGCATATACATTTTTTTTGAGAAGCATTATACTCTTTCATATTCTTAAAATGTTTGTGGATATTATGTCCACTATATTCATTATAAATTCAAATTCAATTGTTTAATTTGAATTAAAATAAATCTCACCACTCCCCATTTCAACAAATTGTCATCTTAATAATTCTTGCTATGCCTTTTGTCTCCAGGACAAGGTTTCGCTTTAAAAAGAAAGGAAAAAGTCAAACATGAGTACAACAAACTGCTGCGTAAGGAGAAAAGGAGGACCCCTGCGTCCAAAGCTCTCTACAAGGAGGAGTACCCCGAACACCTCCGCCATCTATACGTGGCCGAGGCAGAGAAACTGAGGAACGAGGCCTGGACCCATCGCCTTAATAGGACCAAGCAGAGACTGTTAGGGCAGGAGAAAAGAGAAGAGACAGCTGAACATGATGAAGATGATGCTCCTGCTGAAGCTGAAGCTGCTGAACCAGTTCCAGAAGATGCTGGTGGATCTGAGCAGACAGATGCTGGACCTGTGAACTCTGAACCAGCAGCATCCTCAGAGAAAGACAGGTAAGAAAACATCTGAACACTCAGCTCTACAACACATCACCTCTGGCTGGCAGAGAACTCTCTGCTCCATAGTTTATCTTAGAATAAAATCACACTGTACATTTTAGATTTATATTTTCAGTTTAATATTTATTATTCCATCGGTCACATACTTATGTATATACAATACCTTGCTTTATATCTTGTTATTGCTCATTTGTAAATTCAACATGGATATTTTCTACTTTCTTGTTTATTTCTTGTCTTTTAATTTGTATTGTACAATACCATGTATTTTTATGCTGCTGCAACACAAACATTTTCCCAAATTGGGATCAATAAAGTACTATCTTAACTTATCTTAATGCATAGTGCTGACATTAAGTGAGCAGTAACACCTGAATTTGTGAGATATTAAGTGAATTAAGTAGTTAAAGGGCCCATTTCATGCTTTTCTGGCTATTACCCGTCCCCTTGTGTGTTATGTAGCTTTTTCTGCATGTAAACGGTCTGCAGAGTCACAAACCCTCAAAGTACACCCTGTAGGGAGTAACACTCTAACACAGAAAATACCTGTCTGTGCTGCCCCAGAACGCCTCGTTGGAGATTTCTCTTTTTCCATTTCTTTCTTCCGGGAACCAATTTGGACCAATCCGCGGACATCCACGCACGCACGCACGCACGCACGCACGCACGCACGCACGCACGCAGACCCCACGCAGCATTCTCATCTGTTTGTCATTACTGGTGTCATTTTCTGGTTGCTAACAAACGCCATTGTAACAGATAATCACTGATGTTCAGCTGTAACGGTGGTGGACTCATCAGAACGGAGTGGGCGAGCTGACCAATCAGAGCACAGTGGGCTCACAGGGATGGGGGGGGGGGGCAGGAGCTCCAACAAGCCGTGTAGGACAGAGTGAATACTAGGGATGTGCATCTCCATCACTGAGGCCGATGCGATGCGCATCTCGATACGATACATTAACGATGCATTTGAAACACCAGGCGATTCNAAGGAAACTTAGTTTCTACAGATCCATCTTCAACAGAGAATTCAACTCATAAGAGATCAGCACATGCATGTTCCAGTATCTGTCAACTCTTTCAGGTACTGAGCAGTACCTGAAAGAGTTGACAGATACTGGAACATGCATGTGCTGATCTCTTATGAGTTGAATTCTCTGTTGAAGATGGATCTGTAGAAACTAAGTTTCCTTTGTCACTCAGCATTGACTTTGAATCCTGGATTATTTCATTCTCTTCATCAAGCTCTTCTGCATCTTGAAATAAGCTTAGTAACACTTCTTCAGCAGTGAAAAGCTTTCTTCTCATGGTTGACCTAGCTTGCTTACATGGTGTCAGCTATTTTGACTCAAGTGCTATCCAAAGGCTTTACCCATAATACATTTCTCAGGGCCAAAAGGGCGTAAGTGCACTTACGTCCTTTTGGCCCCAAATAGTTCAGTGTGTTCTGTATTAGGTATTTTGGTTTTTGATGAATAACTCTGGATTGGTTTAGAATTCACATGCACCCTTTTGGCAGTAGAAAGAGCTCATCGATAGCTTTCATTTGATATATAACTCATTTTGGACCAAAATGTCACTTACGCCCCTCTGGTTCTCACCCCTCGATTTGTTCTTCCTAACTTAGGTGCTGAGATGGAGACAGATGAGTTTATGAATTCCAAGAAATCTCATGAGGTCCAATCCATGTCTGAGGTGGTGGCCTGTCTGGCCCAGCACTGTGGAGTGAAACAGGTCAAGTTACATTTTAAATTAATACCCTAAAAGGCCATGTTAAAGGTGTCCTATCATGCAAACTGCACTTTTTTATGTCTTTTATACATAAATACGTATGTGTCCCCGGTATGTAAGGGAACTCACAAAGTGAAAATAAAACCTTCTCTCTTTTCCTCCGTACCCAAATCTCTAAAAACGGGGGAACAACGGAGCTGATCCAGATTTGCTGCCAATATGACGTAATATCGGAAATGTGGGCTGGCTTTACGCCAATGGCCCTATCAGAAACGTTGCTATCGGAAACAATGTGCAGCGTGTTTTGGACGTAATATGGTCTGTGTTTACATTAGCAAGCATCGCTAACACTCAGAGCTAACGCTGTACTGGAGAGAGTATGTGCAAAAAAGCAGGACATTTAAAAAAAAGGAACTCACCTTGTGGTAAACCCACAAGAAAAAAAGCATTTGAGTTCCATACTGTTTCAGAAATAACCCTTGATGTGTTTGGATCATGATATGGCGTTTAATCACGGCAGCGTTCAGCTGCATCTGAGCAGAGCGGACAGCTCGTCACAGAACTCACAATGTGCCTTGCCGTGCTCAAAATGGGGCGGGGCCAGCAGATAATCAGCCATTCTCTAACAGGGCTTAAACAGGGATTTGAGGGATGTCTAAAACGCATGATTTGGTATTTTGAGCAAAACACATCATAGATATGTTTTGTATATATTTGTATATATCTGAGACCCATAATATGTGCCTAAAATTAGCATGATAGGAGATCTTTAAGGACAGACTTGAACCCTCAACAGGAGGAAGTTTATCTTAGTAGCCTGAGCTTTGCTCATATTTCTTCTTCCATTGTTCCTCTCCCCCCCAGGTGATAGATGTAGGCTCAGGGAAAGGCTACCTGAGCTCCTTCCTCTCCCTGCAGTATGGCCTCCACGTCTACGGCATCGACTCCTCCAGCTCCAACACCCACGGAGCCCAGGAGAGGAACAGGAAGCTGAAGAAGTTCTCCAGGGCGTACCAGAAACACAACAAGGCAGTGAGGGCACAAGGAAAGGCTGCACATTCACCTCAGGAGGAGTCAGAAGAAATAAAACCTGGAGTGGAGGGAGACAATGATTTTTCACATGGAGACGGGGTAGGGTTGTCACAAGAGGAGGAAAAAGAATGGGATTCAGAGCCAAACCAAGAACAGGACTTCTTCCTTAGTGCCCTATCAGTGGATGTGATGCAGCCTTCATCCCCCAGAGTTCCCTCCAGCCAGCTCACTGATGAGGAGAGGGAGAGGAGGAAGAGGGAGAGCCTGGAGAGGAAAGCTCAGAACAGAACCAGTGCCAACGACATGTTTTCCCCTCTCACTTCTTATGTTACTGCGGAAACTGAGCTCCGAGAGCTTATCGACGAGCTGGAGGTGAGCAAATCCAAAGTATAAAAAAAGATCCGAAAATATTTAGTGGTTGCATATAGCTGCACGATTCCCACTGGCGCTCATGAAATTATGAGTCTATCACAGCAGCTGGAGTTTGCATTGCTGGAACAAGTGTGGGGCGTTATCTCGGTGCCAAATCCGCAGCGCGTCATCATCAATAAACTTAACCATCGATCACCACCCCTCCCCTCTTTTTCTTCTTCTGTTCTCTCCTTTCCCTGCATGCTTTCTTCAAATTCCAGGATGCGGTCATGGTCGGCCTGCACACGTGTGGCGACTTGGCTCCCAGCACCCTGAGGATGTTTGTGGCTAAACCGGAGCTGTCCGCAGTCTGTAGCGTGGGCTGCTGCTATCACCTGCTGTCTGAGGAGTTTGACCCTGCCGGACAGGGTAACCTCTCTCACACACTCTCACACACACACTCTCTCTCTCTCTCACACACTCACACACACACACACACACACACACACACACACACACACACACACACACACACACACACACACACACACACACACACACACACACACACACAGTGTGTGAACAGTGAGTAGAGGAGAGGGCTGAGCATGCAGCCTTGAGGAGCCCCGGTGTTGAGGATCAGGGTGGAGGATGTGATGTTTCCCACCCGGACTGCCTGGGGTCTGCCCGTCAGGTAGTTCAGGATCCAATCACAGAGGGCGCTGTTGAGCCTGAGGTCTCTGAGCTTGATGGCCAGCTTGGAGGGCACAATGGTATTGAATGCTGAACTGTAATCAATGAACAGCATTCTCACATATGTGTTCCTCTGGTCCAGGTGTGAGAGGGCAGTGTGGATGGTGTGGGCTATGGCGTCGTCTGTGGACCACAGAATTCTGTGATCAGTTTTAGAAGGAAAAAAAAACGTTTAGGGTCAATTCTCTGTTAGTGTTGCAACAATAAATGGTATGATGTGTAACTTGACCTGCTTGAAATTTCAAAACGATAATTTTTTCATAATGGTGGCTGTAATCTGAAACATCTTTGTCTTGCTGGCCTAATTAGTTTTGTTGCCAGCATAGTGAACCTGGAAATGTTGAGTACCCCAAAGTTTTATGTTAGAAATGTATAGTACAGGTCCCCAGCACATAGAAACATTTCTAACTTAAAACTTTGGTGTACTCAACATTTCCAGGTTCACAATGCTGGCAACTAGACGTTGAGGTCATGTTGAACTGGATGATTTACTGTGTCCCTCCTGAGAGCAGAAAGCTTACAATGTGTTGGTGTACAGAGCTTTTAATACAAACAAGTTGAGCTTGAAACATTAGCTCTGATAAAGGTAGAACAAAGTCAACAGTTCATGTTGTGCTGTACATGTACACGCATTTAAACATAAATGCTGTATTAAATCTTATTCTGGCATAGTAATACTAATTAGTACATTACTAAATTGTATTGTATTGGGTATTGGAACACACTTTACTTTTTCCTCTAGCATAATGATTAGAGTGGTACTAAATAGAACGGTTTAAAAATGGAACACCATACATCTTCTCTAGCATACAAATCAATAAGTACAGCGGTATAGATATCGGAACGCAGTTCAAATTAAATGTATCATTTTATTTCGGCAGTATGCTTGGAACACATAGTATATCTTTCTCTGGCATACTAACCTATAAGGTAGGCCTACTTAATAGTACATGGGAATCGGGAATGCACAATAAGTGTTTCCCTGGTATTCTAAATAGTACGGTAGGTATTGGAACGCTATGCTTGTTGTCACTCAGTTAAATGTCTGTAGTAGAGCCATATGGAATAATAACCGCTCCCTAACAGCAGGTGGTAGTAATGCTCAGTGTAGCTTTACAGCGGTTGTATTGTTTTTAAAGTAGAAGAAGAAGTCCGTCGTGGACCAATACGTTCCTATTATAAATCCATGGGACCAATTGCAAAGCGCCAGTACATCACAAAGAAGAAGAAGAAGAAGAACGTGGACCAATGAGAGCTAAGATGTGTGAGGATGCGGGAAGCACAGTGTTCGACAGGTCTCTAGATGAATCTTCACGTCCATGAGATGAAGTGACAGCGCGTTTCTGACTTATTTCTGCGTCTCTTCTGTTTCAGTCAAACAGGTGAGCTGTTGTTAAAGTTACTGCTGTTGTTTTTTCTTCTAATAATGCGGTAGTTCTCTAAAATGCTACAGGGTTTGCTCTCCTCTCAGCTGTCAGACATGAAGGCAGGCTGTCAACAAAGTGTCACTATCTGTATGTATCTTATCTGTATCTATCGGACATGTTACTACACGTGCTGGTCGCACACAGAGGCGGGGGCGCGCACAGGATGATAATACACACATAAGAGCATCCTATCTTTATATTCTAATAAATAAATGAGGGACATATTTAATTTTGGACAAAGGAGAAAAAGATAGTGTTCAAGATTTCAAAATGTTGGTCCAGTTTAAAGTCAGAGCAAGCAAAACACCATGAAATACTATGATTGATGTTTGTGTTTTTGAGACAGAATGAAAAAAACATTCACTCAGCACTAACATATCTGCTTGGAGGGGGCCACTGGAGGGGGAGGGGGATCAAGCTCAGTGTTCATGTGTCCCCCCGGTCCCCCCCAGTGTTTGTAAAGAATAAATATATATATATATATATATATATATATATATATATATACAGAGGTGGGAAGTATTGGAGTACAAATACTTTGTTAC